GGAGGGCGGCGAGCCGGTCCCCATCTCACCGGGGACAGCAGTGTTCCCGTCAGGATATGGCACCGAGAAGGAGCTGGGGCCAGGCCACGAGGGCCCTGCGACCTGGGGCTGAGCTCTAACCCTCGCCGAATTATTTCCAAGGGGTTTCACCCTGCAATGAGCCAACCCCCCGGCCCTGCCAGCTGGCTTTCCCGCTCCCGCACTGCCTCTGCTTGGCGTCAGCTTGGGTTTTAAGGGTGACTGGGTGTGCACGGGCGCTGGGTGGGGGGCAGAAACGGTGGAGGGGCAGAGGGCTGTCCCAACGCTGGCCATCGGACCCACCGTCCTGACAAAGCCCTCCTTTCCCCGGGCGCGGGGTGACTGGTGCAGCACTCGTGCTTGGAAAATGACTGGCTCCGTGTCCAGGGCTTGAGTCACCGGTTCACGCCGTTGTCCTGGGCTGTTGTTTTCCGAGGCGTGAGCAGTGACCTGCTGTTTTTTATTTATAACTCGGAGAGCGTCGCTTGTTGGGAGACCGAGGAGCCGAGCTCTGGGACGGGGTCTCTGCCTCTCCTGGCAAAAGGCTTGATTCAAACAAGCCGTTCTCAAAGAATTCGGCTGTTTTGCAGCAGGTTGGTAAATAAACAGCTCTGCTCTCGCACCAGCGACTCTCTTCTCGGTAGGTTTAACTGCGCCAGCTTGCTGGCTGGTTTTATTTCTCACTTCTTTTATTTTCTTTCTTTTGCTGGAGCTGGTGTGCTCTGCCTGCTTAGCTTCCAGGCAGGTGACTGCTGGGAAATGATCTGGGGCGTTTTATCTGCTGTAGATATCCTTATGTCTGCGTTTGTGCATCCATCCCATCTCTTATCCGGTCAAGATCACAAGCAGAAGCAGGAGCCGTGGCTTTCCAGGATCTGCCTGGAAGGGCTCCGGTGGCCACCAGTTCCTTCTGGAGCTGGCTAGCCCGGCGCCAGGGCTGCCCATCCGATTTCCCCATGTTTCACTGAAGACTTGCGTGAGGTGAAATCCGCCTTGGAGCTGGTTCGTAGCACTCGTTATTCAGGAAAATGCTGTCCCAACGGGAGCGGTGCCCTGTGGATTCCCGACGCTGGAACAAACTGGTTGGACTGGTCGTGGTGGGAGTGGAGAGTCCCATGGTGAAGGCAGTGGGTGTCCTCCTTGGCATCTCGCCTCCTGCAGACGCTGGGAGAGGTGATGCCGGCGAAGGAGCGTGTGTTTTGGGGGAATACCACTCGTTTAGTAAAATCTAGATGAGGTCTTTGCAAAACCGCCGCTGTCACCCCCTCCCTGCGACTGGCCGGGGTGGCCGATGACGAGAGCAGGGCCGGCGGGGGGCCCG